TTGGCAAGCAGTTACCGACTAAGTGCGACGTGACCGAGAGGAGAAGCTTCGCAGTCGCAGTTGCGTACAGTGACTACAAGTTCGTCTCACAGTTCACAATCGCGATCTTCATCATCCGCCAACAGTTCACGACCAAGTCCGACGCGATCCAGAGGAGAAGCTTCCTGCTCGCAGATGTCATCGCAAACGGCTTCATCTTCGTCTCGAACAGTGGCTTCCATTTCTCAGGTGTCGTCTCAGTCGTGGGCATCTTTTCACTGGTCCCAGAGTGCAACGCTATCACATCCTCCCAGTTCGCAGGGGTCTTCGCAAGTAGCTTCTCACAGTGCGCAAGTGGAGTCAGCATTGATCATTCAGCCGTACATGAGTCAGCGACAACTTCCCTCCAAGCATGCGTTCATCCAGGGTGTTGAGGGAGGGGAGGTTCAATCATCTGTGGTGAATCAAGCCTCTGATGATAAAATTGCTGGTTCAAATATTTCGGAAAGCTCAGGTAAAGCTAATTTCACAGACTCTGTTCAGCAGGAAATCCTTAATGTCACTGGACAAATAGATGAATCTCAAGCTACCTCTTCTACTGCTTCTATAAATGAAGTTAATGGCAGAATGACAGATGCTGCATTCACCAATGTCCTAGAAAATGAATTTAAATCAGACACGATACATATGGTTGCCACAATGCATCGGCCAGTAGATGATGTTGCAATATCTCAGGAAGTAGAACAATTATGGAGCACTGTGATAACAAATTCGCTATACTTTGGTCCCGGGACTACCCCTATAGAGGAAAGTGAGAAAATAGCAGAGGGGAATGATGGAAAGAAGCTCCAGGGAATCATCAGTTCACACACTGATGCTACTCAGGGACTAATCAAACAGGGATGGATAACGAAGATTAAAAAGCACAGTTGTGTTGTGGACAGTTCTACAGGGACTGTCCATATAGACGACTTTAGCAAAACTGGAGAAAATGCGGAGTATGTGGTGGCTGAAGTTTCGCAGGATCCTACACAAGCTATCGGCTTTCTGAAAAGGAGAGGAAAGTACCGAGAGGAAGACAAGAGGGGATGGAAGGAAAAGGGGGGCTATAGTAACAAACTTCAACATTGGGTGGTTAGAGCGAAGGGAAGGACACTTGCCGGTAACTTTGAGGGAGAGACATGCCTAGAATTATCTCAGTTACCAGACAGCTCCAGTAAGCATGTAGAAAAGGCTAACCAAGTGACTGAGTTGTTATTTTTGGACCAGTCAGGAGTGCATGAACTGAACTTTCAGAGATCAGGTTTATCCAGTGAAGAAGGAGCAGTTCAGGGAGTGTGGTGCGCCCATGCCAAAGCATTATCATGGTGTTGTAAGGCTGTTGATCAGGGCGAGGCAAGGTCAAGTGAATTTCTTGGAGAAATATGTGTAAGAGGAGCAGGAGTTGGGAGGAATTACTCAAAGGCAATAGAGTCGGCTTATGATACTATAGAATGCTTTTACATGAAGGGTTATGGGGTGAAGAATAACTATATCTTGGTAAAAGAGAACTTTGACAAAGATACTGCCAATGATGAGTCTGATTGGTTTTACAACCTTGGGGTTATGTACCTGAAAGAGCTTGGAGTTAAAAGGGAATTGAAGCTGGCCGACAAGGATTTTATAGAAGAGGAAGCAGATGCTTTGTGGTTGCAAGTTTCTGTGCTGGGCAATGAACACCCTGCTGCACCTATTGGAGATGCATATTATTATGGTCAGGATACTGACCTAGATTATGAACGTGCAGCAAAAGCTTATAAGCATATCAAATCACAAGACACTGCTCTAACCTTGTTTAACCTGAAATACATGCATGAGCGTGGCCAAGGATTGCTGTCTGTTCTTCACTTTGCACAGTGTTTCTTCTATCAAGCTTTGCAGGGTGAGAATGAGGCAGCATGGTTTTCGTCTTCACCTTTGGCGAAAAGCAGTGTTTTGGGTGAACTCTTACTTGAATTATTGCGTTATGTGTTGGAATGTAGTGGCCAAGCTGCAGTTTTTGTAACCATGGGATCAGATTGTGATATTCATAAGTTTCCCTGGACACACATTATGCAGGCTGAAATCTATAGGGAAAAGACGCTGTTGTTGGGAGATCCAAACTTTTGCAACCTAAGGGAGCACTCTGCCACCAGGACTTTGTTTCTGTTCGCTTTTGATGTGAAGAACATGAATATGCAGCTTCAAGTACTGAAGTTAAATGTCCAGAAACCCGGGATGTATTGGGAAGGAAGAGGCGCCAGAATGAAGTTGAAGTTGACGGTCGAGGCTGTTTCCTATCACCCACCTTGAGGAGAAGGTGGTTGTTCAAGGGGGGAGAAGGGAGTAGTATTGTATAAGAGTGTGAAGGAGGGTAGAAGGGAGGTAGGCAGATTTTGGATTTGGGAATAGGGCTGGGAGAGACGAGGCACTCTCGAATTTGCCTCAACTGTATCGTTACTTTCCAGTTTCTTCAATTTCAGTTTTCATATTTCAACAATTCATCATCAGATTTCTGTGTACCTATCATCTTTGTTTTCTTCAAGTACTATTGAATCTCAATCACCAGCATCCCTAGTGCATCTCAAGCTCCCCCATCTCATTCTGTTTCTTATAACTCATCCATTCAACCTAATTCACCTCATTCTGCGTCTCATGAAGTCATGATGTCTCATGACTTAGCTATTAACACTTCTGCTTATAATACCACATTGGTACCTTCTTCCTCTTCTACACCTTCAATTCCTTTAACTAACTCTCAACATATGCAAACCAGAGCTAAATCTGCTTGTCAAACCTAGACATAATCCCACCTTATTAACTCATAATTGAGCCCAAATCAGTTAAGCAAGCTCTCTCTTCTCCACCATCGCTTACAGCTATGAAATTTGAATGTGATGCTTTATTGGATAACAATACTTGGTCCTTAGTTTCTCTTCCTCCGGGTAAACAAGCCATTGGTTGCAAATGGGTGTTTAGAATCAAGAAAAACTCACATAAATCTTTAAACAAATTCAAAGCAAGATTTGTAGCCAAAGGTTTTCATTAAAGGTTTGGTTTGACTTTGGAAAAACTTTTTCTCCGTAGTTAAACCCGTTACCATTAGAATTCTTCTCACACTTGCAATCTCCAATCATTGGTCAATTCAACAACTTGATGTCAACAATGCCTTTCTAAATGGGGAACTTGATGAATGGGTTTATATGATGCAGCCTCCTGGATTTCAGGTGAAGGACACTTCTCTGGTTTGCAGACTTCAAAAATCATTGTATGGTTTCAAACAAGTTCCCAGGTCTTGGTATCACAAGCTTATTTCAGTTCTATACAAATAATACAATGTTGGGTTCAAACAAAGCAAGTGTGATCCTTTCTTGCTTATTTTTCTATCTTCTGGTATTCAAATATACATCCTAATCTATGTTGATGATATTATAGTAATTGGAAATAACCCCACCTCATTCATCAAATCATTCACAAACTGCATTCTTCATTTTCTCTCAAGCATTTGGGAGACATTGATTTCTTCTTAAGAATTGAAGTTCAAAAACTCTCAAATGGTTGCTTGCATCTTTCCCAAGCTAAATATGTTAGGGATCTTTTACATAAAGTTGGAATGATAGGCTCCAAAGGAATTTAAACACCCATGGTTAGTAGCTGCAAACTTACCAATGAAGGTAGTGATTATCTTCTTGATCCTTCTTATTATAGGTTTGCTGTTGGAGTTCTTCAATATGCTACTTTAACCAGACCTAAACGTAGCTATGTTGTGAACAAAGTGTGTCAGCTTATGGCTGCACCTTTACAAGAAAATTGGAAAGCAGTGAAACACATTCTAAGATATCTATCTAGCACAACTACACATGGATTGATCAGTAGACCTCTTTCTCTATCCACTATGCCTCTACCAATCTCAGCATTCTGTAATTCTGATTGGGCGTCTGATCCTACTGATAGGAGATCTACATCTGGGTCTTGCATCTTTCTAGGACCTAATATCATTTCTTGGTGGTCTAGAAAACAGTTGCGTGTTTGCCAGATGTTCAGCAGAAGTTGAATATAGAAGCCTTGCAGACACCATATAAGAAATTCTATGGATTCAATTTCTGCTTCGAGAACTTCGTGTAACCCAGTGTTGCACTCTCATATTAAGCCCATGGAACTTGATCTCTTCTTTGTTTGAGAAAAGATTCAATTGAAGCAACTTGAAGTCTTTCACATTCCTGCTCCTCAGCAAGTGGCAGATGTCTTAACCAAGCCCCTATCTGCCTTCATATTTCTTGAAATGTGAAGCAAACTTAGTATGGTTGACTTTCCAAATCAATCACCCTAAATTTGAGGCGGGAATGTTAGGAATACTGTATGAACATTGTACCAGCATACCCTTGTAGTAGCTTAGCAGTTAGTAGTCTATTATATTTCTGTTCAGACAGTTCTAAGTCTCTTAAGGCTTTGACTTGTATAACTACTCTGTACAGTTCATTCTCCGTAATGCAAGATTACTTTCATCTTCATTATGCATATATTGTATTACATTTCAATACGGAGGGAGTATTAGTTAATGGCATCCCCACAAGGCGAGGGTCTAGGGAAGTATCCCACCACTAGGGTGTATAAGGGGCTCTTCCCTTGTCATTTTGACAAAAGGCCGCTCGTAAGCAACACCGTAACCGGTGCACCAAGGCTTCTCTTAATATATATTCATTAAATTAAAAAAAAAACTTAAGCTCTTGCAATGTACGTAGAATTGTCATTTTCATTAATGTCAGCCAAAAATGTTACTCATGTACTACTTTTATTTTCATTATCTCAGCCAATTTAGCTAATTCAATAAAATTATTTAGTGGTGAAAGATCTTACTGAAACTGTCATAAGTCAGATAGAGTTCACAAAATGAGCACTTTGTATTTTGTTCCCTTTTCGGTAGATGATCGATCAGTTTATAATCTAAGTTATCAATGTGCTGGTTAAAAAAACTAAAGGATGACTGTAAGTTTTAATTGCAGGTCACTTGCAAATGGTGCCTTAAAGTGGTTTAAAGACAACCTATGAAATCCCTGCTGAACTCTGAGGCGATTCATTTATTTATGTTGGAGATCAATATAGCTTCCAACAAGGTTTGCACCATCTATCTCGACAATGTAACATACCAACATTGAAAACTAAAACGCAGAAACCAGACACATTCTTTATGTATTAAAAGGAATCAGAAATCATCATAACTGAAAGGAGAACCTGATCTTCACATGTATGGAAACAAAAAAAATGGAAATGTGGCCTAAATATAATTTGGAGAATTCGTTCTTTCACCTTAACGGATTTTGAGGGAAATGAGACTATATGATACTAATAACTAGTAGTGCCAAGAATTATAATTTAGAAAAAGATGATTAATAAAACCTTCATTTTTCAGTTACAGGCTGACACTGCTGAATGTATTTTGATACTTTAACTGTGGAATGGCTGGTTGGGTTGATTGAATTCGAAGATTGAAGGATGTATTTCAAATGCTTATGTTTTGGTTTGCTCTTGCCGAATTTAAAAAAATATATCTAAAATTGTTGATAAGAGAAAGGGATGGACAAGGCCCTAGTCTCAAACTGGGACCTGGAATTAAGGTTTTGAGCCAGGGACCGACCGGCTGGAAAGGGGAACCGCTCTCAAGTCTCACTTTCGAGACTGGTAGGTCAAGCCCGTTTTTTTTGGTAGTAGAATATTGTAAAGAAATTTAAAAGGGGGAGAGTCCATTTAAAAGCTAAATAAAAGTGGGAAGTGATGAAGAGGATATGGAGGGGGAATAACGGGGACCAATGGGTGAATCAAAATAGATTTGGAATCGCGATGTGTCCATCCCTAGTTGGAATATATGCTTTTTTGTTTCAAATATATTTATTAAAAAAAAATCTTAGTTGCTAATATTAGATATTCTTTTTTGTTACTACTTCCGTCCCTCTAACATTTAGACATCAAGAGTAGTGCGATTATTAAGAAAAGTGTGTTTTGTGGTTGATATTGAATTGATAAAGTAAGAATAATATAATAATCACACAAATTTTATCAAATTTGGTAGGGTATAATCTTAGTGAGAAATTGAAAAAGAAAGGTAGGACAATCTTAGCAGGATGGATGAAACATGAACCTATATGGTTAATGTGTGAAAGGGTCGGCGCTTGCCCATGTTCGTACTTTATAATGGTGATTATACAATTGCTACTCCAAACTTATAGGGTGTTGTCCAATGTTCAAGCTCAGAGACTCGGATGCAAGAGCATGTGTTCATGTTTGAGGCCAATTACAGAGTATTATATGTGATACATACATAGTATATGACAATGTAAAATACACACACATAAAATTGTTCTTGTAAGGTAGGTCTAAAAGTTATAATCTTAGGCCTCTTTCACTTTAGAAGCTTTCGGGTCAATTTTTTTATGAAATTTTGTGAGCATGCTCTCCATGAATTGTAGACCATGTCCACCAAGTTTTAGATTAAAATTCAATTGAGAAGTCAGTTAAATATTTTTTTTAAAATTGTGTAGGTTTATATATATACAAAATGCAGTTTTTTTCAATAATTTATTTAACTGACATCCTGATTGGATTTTATTGTGAAACTTGGCAAACATAACCTCAATTAACGAAGAACATGCCCACAACATTTCATAAAAAAAAATTGACTCAGAAGCACTTCAAAGGAAAGAGGCCTAAGAATTATAACTCTTAGGCCTACCTTACTTGAACATTGTCATATATATACATATATAGAGTAGCGTTCTTTTCAACCGCCGTATGGTTGAGATAATTTGAGGGCCTTCTTGGTTGAATTTTTTGAGCATGCTATTCATCAATCTAGTTTATGTCCATCAAATTTCAGCTAGAAACTCATTCGGGAAGGCAGTTAAATAAATTATTTGCTAACACTGCGTTTTATATATATATAGAATAGAGATCAAATACAAACCCTTTTTAATTTACAAAGTACAAACTCATCTTGACCGTCTAATGAGTTGATCTAAAGGACATAAAGGCAAGGTGACATTTTTGTAATAAAACCCAACTTTTTTAGGGTGCAATTCGTCGAACGTTAATGTGCAACTGCTATTTTATGGCTGAATAATATGCATTACTTTGAACCTCAATATGCAATACAAAGAACGTCAAGGTGCATCGTACAAATGATTGCACAATAAGCACAGTTTGTACGTCAAGTTTCGTTGATGGCTAAAAGTTCCAACGTTAATCCTTGCATCTTTCCTTTTTTTTTTTAATTTGCTAAACATGGGTGGTTGGAATTTTAGTGGGGGGTTAGCTGAAATTTTGGGATTGCCTTCCGTATGGTGCTCATTTGTTTAATCATGGGATTTAGTTATTAAATTATTTCCATAAGTAACTAGACTTGCCGGCCACTTCTACTTTTCAATTACCATCAGGGACGGACCTATGTAGGGGCAGGGATGGGCTTCAGCCCAGCCCAACCCAAATATTTTTTATTGGTATTAGTAATAGATTTAATTTTGAGCCCACCTCCAATTATTGTTCAGCCCAGCTAAGCCCACTGGATGACTAGAAAGTGTTCTGTGAAGCTTTAAAAGGCAGGCCAATGACAACCAATGGTCTACTAGTTATTGCCTTCAACAATTCTCGCATGGAACGAATTACTTATAGGGCAATCAGGATGCTAAACTATCATAGCGTTCCGGTGTGGGAATATGTGAGAAGAGGAAAACTTTACATACGTAGCATTATACGGAGTGCAATCTCATCTCACCCACTCACCCACACCATTCATGTACCCATAAAATTTATAGCACTTTATATTACAATATTATTTTACAACATGATTATGCTAAACATTAATTTGACTTTTATTATATCAGTGTTATTATTATTATTATTATTATTGTTATTACGGAGTATTATTATTGTTGTTGTTGTTATTATTATTATTATTATTATTATTATGCTTTTTTAGTAATCCAGTTCATTGTCTATTTCTAATTTTTGCAACAAACATAGTTAAAACTACTATTTGTGATTTTTAGAGCTCTAGAAGTATATATACTTTTGTTATAAAGCGACTATAAGAAGCACGAAGCAGAAGTCGTAAGCACTCAACTTAGTAAAGCGGTGAAGACACGAAGTCACGAGCACATGTGCCCAACCACACCACCACCTGCCGTCTCGGGCCCCACGCCAGCCGTCGGTGTCCCTCCAGAGGCAGGCACTCCAGCCTGTAGCTCGTTGTGGCTCTGCCTCTCTAGTCTATTCGAGTCCAACTAGCCGTCTCTAGCCAAGTCTAGTTGTCCAGTCGTCCACATATACTATAATACTCTGTTAATCTATTATGTTGTGTATTACAGAGTAGTTTTTTTAGTTTTATAGTTCTGTTTGATTATTAATTGAGTTTGTTTAGTAGATAATAAAATAGCGTTTATTCATTTATGCTCGAATTTGGCTTGAATGAAATAGATTTATTAATTATCATTTTTTAAGTGTTTAAATAGGTTTATAAAGTTGTACTAAAAATGTTTATAATCAACGAGTTCGAGTCCGGATTAAACAGAATATCACTATGCTCGAACTCGACTTGAATAACTATTTGAACTCAAAATCTAGTCTGTGTTCAGCTGAAAGCTCGTTAAGCTCAGTCGTTAAATTAAATTGAAAATCACGCTTGATCTCGAGCAATTCAAAAAACTCGTTCAATGAGCTTTTTTGCGCAGTAAACTTTTTGCGCAGTAACATTTTTTTGCTACTTAGCCCACCCCACCCTCCATTCCTGGATCCGCCCCTGATTACCATTGTGACCTTTTAAAATGCCTAAAACTAAAAAACGTAGTTATCCGAATTTATCTCATGCGTGTGTCTTCACCGTTTTAGTAATGGATCCCATATATCATAAGCCGATCGTTATTTCAAATCCAAGGGATGGTATTGGTTTAGGTTCGCACCGGAAGCATGGTTAGCACTAGAGATGGACCCGGGCCGGGTCGGGCCCGGGCCGGGTCAAGGACCGGTCGGGCCTCGGGTCTTATAAGGGTAGGCCCGGGACCGGCCTGGTCAATGACCGGTTCCGGTTCGGGCCGGGCCACCCGCCCGGGTCACGGGTCGGGCCACCCGCCGGGCCGGGCCAGTACATTTTTTTTTTAATTAATTATATATTATACAAATTGCTATTAAAAACAAAGTTCAAGTGCATTTATTTGAAATAAGAACTATATTTGAGAATTGAGAAAAAAATAACAATACGAAATACATTTTGTAATGAATATCAATTGGGATTTCCGCCACCGTTGGTTGTTGTTTTCCCTTTGTCACAGGACTTCATATGTTTTATTGGCATCCCGTATCCGTATGAACGCCCCAAGCAACAGTCTTTCTTGCACCACCTGCAAGTTGCCCACCACAGTCCGGTCTTCGGGTCCTTCCACTTGTCAAAATTGTTTTGCATAAGGGAAGATGTACTTTCCATATTTAAAATGGTATATGTATAAGTAGGAATGTAGGATAATAAGAGAAGATGAAGATGGAGAAGAGTTTGAGAAGAATTGGAGAAGAGGTGTAGAAAAATGTTAGAAAATAGATGTATTTATAGATGTTTTTGAACCCCACTCCCCACACCACCACCCCCGGGACCCCCTGCCCCCCACCCATAGCCCCAACGGCTATATAGCCGCCGGCCGTTTGGGAGGTTTGAATTTTTTTTTTTTAAGTTATACACATATTGTAAAATAAATTAATAAATTTAATGAATTAAGTAAAACTAAAACTATTTGTACTTAGAAAAGTGGTTTGATTTATAATTTACAAATGTTACAAAATAGGTGTATAAGTATTTAAACAAATTACATATTGTAAATGTATTTTTAATTTAAAAATCGGCTTTATATTTTAGAAAAATAATTTGAAGTCGTTAGATTGTAACCAATTAATTAATTTGAGAAGTGCTACATATGAAAAAGTGAACACATATTTATTTGAAATATGAAGTACAAGTTTACAAATTAATTTGAAGTACAACTACAAATTTACAATTTTGAAATATGAAGTACAAGTTTACAATTTTGAAATATGAAGTACAAGTATAAATAAATTTGACAAGTGCTATAAAATACATTTTGTAATAAATTCTAAAATACTAATCAATCGGAATCTCCGGCATAGGTAGAGCCACCATCGGTTGTTGAGTCATCCATAAAATCTTGGGAGGGGGTGATGCTCAATTCTTGAGTTCTACGTGCGGCCTTCAACCAATCGTGGTAGCATATAAGCGTCTCAAGAGACTCCGCGCTCAATCTCGATCTAGATGCCGTTAGGACGTTGCCGGCCGAACTAAATTCTTGTTCCACAGCAACTGTTGAAACCGGCATTGATAGTACTTGCTTAGCCATCCGTGCTAAAATCGGGAACGTTCTTTCTTTTGACTTCCACCAGTCTAGAACGTCAAAGTCATCATTTTCTTCAAAATCAACTTCATATGTTAAATACAAAGTAATCTCATTCAATGCGCTTTGTTCAGTGACGTGAGTTGTTTTAGTTTTTTTCATAAGATTGCCAAATGCAGATTTAAAAATCGATTTTCCTTTAGATGAAGATGTTCGTGACGGGGGGGGGGGGGGGGGGGGGGTTGCTATATTGTGCACGAAACTCATTAAATAAGGCATAAAATAAAGTACTAACCTCGTTGTATTCCGTTTTCGGATCTATGGGGTTATCGTCATACATTGGAAATTCACCGAAAAACGCAAGATAATAGAAGTTGAAACAATCTTCCAAATTAGCAAGTCTATAACGAGGATCGAGAATAAATGCAATACCATAAATATGGGGAATATGCGCATAATATTTTAAAAACTTTTCCTTCATATGATCACAAAAATAATGAACAAAAACGGCATTCTGAAATTCTTT